GGGTAAAAAAATTGAATTTAAAAACAAGCTTTAAATTTGATTTTTTTTGGGGGGTGGGGGTGGGCTGGTTTGAGGGTAGGGACAAAATAAATTGATTTTTTCAACAAAAAAATAATTGTAATTTGAAGTTGGAAGAGAGTTTTGGAAAATGTTTTTCTTAAGTTTTGAAGGGAAGTCATTTTTCTTAAATTTGAGGAAAATGAGTTGATTTAGAAAACATTTTCCAAAACATTTAATCCAACCAAACATGAGAAAATTGGAACCAAACACACCCTAAGAAGAAATGAAACCTTGAACAACTTTAAATTAGCTTTTTCGATTGGAAATTAAAATGAATTCCTACCTTATTGAGTTGATTTCATCAGTTCATCAGAGAGTACCTACAACTCTTTTGTTGGGGAAGATGATGAATTTGAATGGAGTAAATAATTAATAAAGAAAATAACTTAAATGTGACACTTTCTAATTGGTTTTTGGCAATAAAAACAGACCAACACGTGCATTATGTGTGTGTTCACAAACATAATGAGAAAATGGGTCAAAATGGTCCTTTTATAAAAATATTCAATACTTTGTGGGATAATAGGACACCCTCAAAGTTAAGACGTCTTTTTGAAAATCCGAGACAACTTCAATGGTGATTTTATGTCTTTCTCATTAGTTTATAATCATGTTTAATTTATATAAAAAATAATTTAAAAAATCATAGAAAATATGGAGGGACTAATACAATATAACTTGCCTAAAGTAATAGAAAGTATACATTGACTATACAATATAATTTATATATACATGAGCTATACATTCGAAAATTTGAATATAGTTTAATGAAGTATACATCGACTATTTAATTTTTATCAATTCAAAATTATCTCTAAATAGTCCCAAAATTTAGAAATGAAATTATCTTGATATTTCGAGTCTTGTGATCTATAATTCGCTCGAAACAACGGAAGGAAGAAACTGACACGACGATAACGGAGGTGGAGAAAAAAATGGCTTTTTTTATGTAATCAAATTGACCTTATGAGTTATGGGCCTCCACTAAAAGCTATCACCTTGTCTAGGTGATAATTACTCATGATCTTTTTCTACAACCAATCACAATATTTTTTGGTACATTGAAAATAAATAAAATTTATAATTTTTTTCTTTGATCATAAGCTACCTGACTTAAGTTTAGGAGGAAAATAAATTTCACACGTCTTATCAAATTAACATATCTAAAATTTCATGATGATTTGACTCTCTTAGATGTGTATGTTTCGGTAAATATTTATCATCTTAAATAATAATTTTAAGAAAATGACACTATATGTCCTCTTTGATAAGCTACCTGACTTAAGTTTAGTAGGAAAATAAATTTCACACGTCTTTTCAAATTAACATACCTAAATTTTCGTAATAATTTGCCTGTATGTTTCAGAAATATTTATCGTCTTAAATAATAATTCTAAGAAGATGACACTATATGTCCTCGTCTTTGATAAGCTACCTGACTTAAGTTTAGGAGGAAAATAAATTTCACGTATCTTCTCAAATTAACAATAAAAATTCATAATGATTTGCCAGTATGTTTCAGTAAATATTTATCGTCTTAAATTATAGAGTAATTCTAAGAAGATGACATTGTATGTCCTCCTCTTTGATAAGCTAGATAACCGATAGACAATGTCTCTACTTTAAATTCTTTTTAAAACCTTATTTTTACTATTTTGAAACTTTGTTTGATACTTCATAGTTCCATGATGAGACTTGAAGCAAACTTCATCTTACTTTGAATATTTCAATAGCCACTTTCTTGCATTGTCAAACTAAGGTTTTTTTAAAAGAGATAATTCGTAGCTTTTAGGTATTCGATACTTAGTAGTCTGATTAGTTCGAGTTCAAATCTTGTAAAGAAAGAAAATTTCTTGTTTTAATATTAATTTTTATTTTATTTTAAAACTTAAATTTGCGACCTTCAATTTAGAACGAAAGAATCTAAGTGTTCTTATAATCTCACCTCAAGAAAGTTCTACTAACACAATTTCAAGATGGTCCTAACTCCTACCTAATTTGGACAAAGTAGTTAAGTCACATCAATTCTCACTCTTTTGTCAAATTTATCACATTACTGGCTAGAGTCTAGACCAGTATATTACTCCCCTGTCTTAATTTATATGACATTTTTCGTTTTCAAAGAGTCAAATAGTTTAAGTTTGATCGGAAATTTGTGTATGGAATCTTCAATTTTTTTGAAATGAAATTTATATATTTGTAAACTACATAAAAAGTACTATAACTCACAATAATTGATAATTCAAAATGTTTAAAAGGTCTATGAAAAATTTACGGTCAAAGATAGACTTGTTTGAATCTCGAAATCCAAAAAGTGCTACATAAAATAAAACTGAGAGAGTATGTTATTATTGCTTCCACTCCATACATGAAAATTAAAGATAGATTAATAATGGAGATATTTGTGAGTTTTGAGTACTTGGTGAGTGGTCACTAGTCACACCAAGCACCCAAATTTCTTCCACCACGGGGAGCGGTAAATCATCGAGGAATATGATAAGATGAATTAAATCACTTTAACTTTAATCAAAGATTTCGAAGTCGAATTTTAGTAATAAAAAAGTTTCTAACATAGAATGCTTTCCTGTTAATACAACTTGTTTGTGAGACTCAAAAATTATCGATCCAGTAAATTACGAATATCAATTGATTTAAGTCAACAAAAAAATTTGCGTTAGGACTAATATGTACTCTATTATTCCCTCACACATGATCATTACCAAACAATTACCCCTCTTTTAACATAGGCCAAATACATTG